CCGAGCAAATCTTTCTCTCTGTGAGAATGTGAATAACATTGCTTTGTTCACATATCTTTCTTTGTTATTTTTTTTTTTTTTGGTTGCATACTTGAAGGAGGTTTAATAATGATGTTATGTCTAGGTAGGCTATATATGCCCCTACTTGCTGCACTTCTATTTGAAACCAAGTTTTTCAGTTTGGAAGTATTCATCACATGGATATACAGAGATACTTTTTTGAGACAAATTGAAGATAGTGAAGGAGGAAAAAGAAAGAAGTGTTCCTGAAATTGGCAGAATGAACTTACTGTGAATAGAATACATAGAAGTTATGCAGTTTTTCTAATTAGTTAGGACTATTGCCACCTCTAACCATATGATATCTTACATTAGAATAATTAGGAAGGTGTTACTGGAAAGACAGTTCAGCGTAGTAACTGATGGTACAGGGCACTAATAAACTCAAACTGAAACAAAGTAATTTAGGGAAGTGCATGAAGTATTATGGCAGGTGGGAAAGACAAGTCAGGAGGTCAAAATCCATTAGAATTAGGAAATAAAAGGCACGAAGTCTGAAGGAAGCACTCTGGATTTCCCCTTCATCCTAAGAACGCTGTTCAGTTGGTTCTTGTCCTGCCACAGAAGTTAATATGGGGAAGTAAAGCCAAACAAATTGAGAGCATTAAGCCGTTGGTGCCTTAGCGTGCTGGTTGCCTGTTGGCGTGATGGCTCTGCCTTCCCGTGTGATAGATAGAGCTGTCCAAATTTGTGTCCTGTATGTGCACTTTGTTTGGTTTGATGAGCTGTCAGATTTAGATTTAAACTCTCTAGCATCACTATCACCCCATGCTACCTCAGATCCTTCTTATTAGGACTGTCAGGCATACTCGTTCATTACGTTTTGGAGGACTGGTTTATAGTGACAAGAGGCCATTACTTATGGCGACGTTTAGTCAGGCCTCTTTGCTGCAGTATAAATGTTCATTTTGCAAAATTGTGATGCAGGTTTGGCCAAGAGCTCTTACCTCTGCTACGGCTCGCTGACCCATTTGCATCTTATGAATTGGAGCCCTAAGTCATGTTCATTTAATCAGTTGTTCCAGTGCAAATACTGACAAAATCACCAAGTGATTTCTTTGGCAAAAGGCAGGTCATGCTTTGCAACTCTCAATCCACATACTTTTCCCTCGGGGTATAACCCCTGCTTTTATTTCATTCCTAAATAATTTTTTGCATGATTGGAGAACTACGAATAAAGTCAACAATATATTTTTGTTTTCATTTCAAATCCTGAAGGAAGCTGCAAAGGACATGTATGCATAATAAGGAAAGGTGAAACTGATCAGTTGTTTAAAAACAAAATTCCTATGATACTTAATGTATTTTCCTCTATCAAAAATTATTGACAACCATTTCATAGTTTAGAATTCCATATAAAACAAATGTTATTTTTTAAGAATGGAAATCCAGTCCTTTTTCTTAATCTTTGCAGAGTTGTAGCCCTGAAACAGGTTGCACACAGATAAAAGCACTTTACTGAATCAAAGCAGGCATTCCTTTGCTAGGACATTTACCTCAAAGTGAGGTGCTGCTTGGAACAGCTTCATACTAATTCGAATATTACTGTTTTTTCATTGAGAAGAGTTGCAATGGGTATCTGCCTTTGTAGCCCATTGACGAGGGGTGTGACTGGTTCTGTTTAACCTACCACCCACCCTGCACAACATCTAATAATGCAAGACTTTTTGATTGGCTGGTTTGACTTATTAATGCAGAGGAAGAGTACACCCCCCATGCCCCAAGTTATTTTCCTGTAGCGTTAACAAGCTGAAGGATCTCAGGAAGTTATCAGATGAACATGGGAACTGGTGTGTGCATTTGGGGAGACAGAATGACGCATCCCTCTTTCAGCAGCAACAAATAAGTAGAATATGTAATTTGACTCTAAATATGCAGGATTTTACACCAGTACAAGTCACTGCTTCATGAAGAGAGTTTCCTTCCAAATAAATCTTCATTCAGTTCTGTGACCAGGTAGTCTCTGTGCTGTTGGTAGCTTCTCCCAGGTTGGCATTTGCATCGTGGGATGTCTGTCAGATGTAGCTGTGGTGTCAGCACTCCACGTCCTTGGAATCCTTTTACTTTCCATGACTGAGTGTTCTTTTTTGCTGCTTTCAAAGTTTGAAAAGGTTGTCACAGATAAAGCCAGGCTTGGTGTTGCACTGAGCATAGCTGAGAATATGCAGTGACAGTGATTGGTCTTCAAAGCTACAGCTGTGGTGGCATGCTGGTTTCGTGGTCAAAAGAGGACGGGGGCCAAGCAGCCAGGGATTTGCAGGTGTTCTTTTTCATAGAAACCTCAGAGGAATGGTACCTGTACAGGAAGAGTCCTTGCACAGAAAGGGAAAGTTATGTTTACATGGATGTGGCCATGAGTCGAGGTACTTAGTTTTTTTAGAAACATAAAGCAAGAAAGGATTTATATTTCTGGCTTATTGCCACTGTTCAATAATGGGTGATAGCTTCAAGATATAAATGGGAAGCACAGGGCTAAATAGCTCCCCAAGGAGTTATTTTTAGGGAGAAAGTTTACTGGGGAGAAAGGGGTGGACTTTTTGGTGGGTTTTTATGTTTGGGGGATTTTTTTTATTTTTTAAATAAAACAGCACCTGCAGTTTAACAACAGAGTTCTTGAATTACTCGCTACAGCAGCTTTTTGTGAAGTTATAACATTTCCAGGAAGAAACAAACTAAGTTTGAGCTTGAAAACTATTGCTGAGCTTCCTTGGAATAGCTAGGAGACCTTTGTCTACATAGGGGAGTATTCAAAACAGGGATGCTTAGGCTGCTTGATGGTTTGATTAGAGAATGATGCACATAGAAATAATGTAGAGAGGGAAGCATGTTCTGGTGGAGCATTAGGAAGGTTAAGGAGAAGGAAATGTACAATTTCAGAGTTAAAGAAGTTAACTTTGTAGTTACAATTTCATATCAGAGCTGAGCTGTGCAATTTCTAGCCCTCCTTCTGTTTTGGGAAGAAATTGTCTCATACTATTATTATATTGTTTTCAAAGGAGCATAAAGAAAAGGTTGAAGTCTTGACAGCTATGACAAAATCCAGTGCCATAATGTGTCACCGGATAAGTGATACTGTATAGTCTGTGGCAGCCAGCAAAGCATAGCAGCCACTATTTATATGTCAACTTTAAGAGAGAGGAAGTGTTACCCGAAGGGGAGAGAATATCAGAATTTGACAGCCTGGTAGACATCTGAGGTTAAATGTCATCTTTTGAATAGATTTAACTTACATATTCATTTTATGTATTGAGATCTGAATTCCAGCCTTTAAATGCTCATTTTGTTATTTTGTGGCACTTAAAAACATTGTGCATAAGAACAAAGTTTTCTGCTAGAGCAGACAATGTTAAAGGTTAGGTCGTGATTTTCAATATCTAGCTTATGCTGTGTAAATATGTAGGTGCATATGCAGCCACCAACAGCAGAGAGAGATGCATCTTCTGCTTAACCTTAAAAAAAACCAGTTTGACTTTCAGTAACAATTCATATATTACTTGGATTCCTCCTCTATTATGTCAAATGATTTTTGTGTTTCCTAGGTTTGCTGTTCTTTTTAAGTTCTTGTTTCAATTTAAAACTTCAAATTAAAACCTTGTTTGTATGTCTCCATGAGCAGCATACATAATGCATGGGAACTAACTCTGTAGGTACTGGGATTGTTTTATTTTCCCACCTTCCCTACCATGAGTTGTTTGTCCTTTGAGGATTTGTTTGTGGTTTTGCTTTTTTAACTTCCTGACTACTCTTACCCCTTTATATCACTTGGAATGGTAGGGAATAGAGCAGAGATACTTCTATAGTTATTTTAATGATCTTGGAAGAACAGAACTTGTTAGCCTTCAAACAATATTTTCAGCTTGGCGTTTATGGGGAACAGTGTGCTTTGAATCAGAGGCACTCTATTTTCCTCTTCTAAAGGAAATTGCCAGTATCTTTTTAACATTCTGAAGCTTGTGTGAAACTTCCCATTGAAGTGTGAATTACAAAGCTTTTCATATGACTAAAAAGATCACTGTGATTTCACAATTAGTCTGAAGTGTTGCAGAGACTAAAGTTGGTAATACCTTGATGCTGTTTTATCCATTGCCTGCAATTGTTTTTGAGTGAAATTGTCAGGAAGGGAATTGAGAACAGGACAAGAAGGCTTTGATGTGACTTGGTCTTGAGTATAAAAGCTTTGAGAAGCTTCGTGAAACATTGGTGTGCCCATTTTTTTGAGTGTTGTCAACTCTGGGGTCTCCTTCTCAGGAAGAATGTTAGAGCAGGTAGAGAAGGGCAGCTAAAATAGTCATGGGATCATCTGTCTTGCAGGAAGAGACTGAAAAGATGACAACTTCAGCACGTGGGACCAGGCAGGCTGCATCCATTAATGTGTGTAATCCAAAGGTTGTAGTTCTTGAAGGAGCATGGTGGGGATGGACAGCAGAAAGTGCTCAGGCCTGTGTGGGCTTCTTATATAGCATTTCCTGTGGCTGCTGTGGAGGACCACTGATCTGACCAGCAGTGCATTTCTTCTGTCCTTCATGGGAGAATGTCACAGGTACTTGTGTTAGATGATGACCTGAATATGAAAGTTAGGTAAATCGTTCCGGTAGTTTTGTGGTTAGGTAGTGATTGTTACTAGTTGAAAATTCAGGTCATTGCTCTGGAAAGAGTCAGAATGCCCTTTATAGGGCGTTTGGTGACATATTTTCTTACAGAAACAACTCTCAACAGTTGCAGTTATTTCAATTAGTGGATTATTGCAAGGTGAAACACAGGGAGGTACTACTATGAAAAATGCTGCAGATTTGCATGAAGCTAATAGGACTTAATATTTTTCTCTCATTTCTTTTGGATGGGTCCTGTTTTCGCAAACTTTTCTTACAGTCATTATTTCTGAGTTAAATCACCTGTCTTTTTTCTTTTTCTTTTCTTTTTTCTTTGTTTCTTTTTACCAGGTTCTTGAAGATGCAGAGGCTCAACATTTGTTCCAGTCCATTCTTCCTGATATGGTCAAGCTGGCGCTCTGTCTCCCTACTATCTGCACCCAGGTGAGTAAACACAGCTGGCAAAGTGCTTTGTGGCAAACGGCTTCTCTGCAAACTGTAACTAATGGCTGAAGTCAAAATAGCAGGATCACGTTAAATTCTTAATAAAAGGTATAGGTTTTGTGTTGAATATAACTGAGGCTTAGGGAGCAGAACAGACAATGCACATCTATAATGATGTAAGAGAATGTAAAAAAATATATCTTGCTGTCATATTTTTAGTCTGAACTTCAGTAACACTTTCCTTTCTATATGCTGGAGTTGCTTCTTGCTTTTCTTAAATGAAATGACCATGAAACCTTTCAGGTTTGAAAATCAAACTTATAAACTGAAATACTTCAGTAATCTTACAACACCTAGTTTTTGATTTTAGAATTTTTTTAATCCTAGAATTAGTATTTTCATAAAGTCTTCGTTTACTTGGGAGTATATTGCATTGCAATACTTGTGCACATACAAACCTTTGTTATTGTTATGGGAATAGGTTCTGTAGGTAGTGAAGCTGATAAAAGTGAATAGGACTGATCAAGGAAGTGAGGCTGTATGATAGATAACACACTAACAGGGTAATGACTCTTCATTTGTAAGCTTGTTACAATTTTCTAAATTGATTTTGTTGGACAGGAGCAGGGAAAATCTCTCCCTACTTCGTTATGCCACAGGGGTCCTACAGTAGATACAAAATTTCAAACAGTATGAATGTTTCTTAAGTTTGTATTTTTTACTAGTCGCTTGATGGGGGAAGCTTTTGAGAACACTAGGACATTTCTGAATGCTGAGTCAAGCACAAGACTAGGAAGTTCATGCGGTAGTGCCTTTTATAGAGATGATGTACTGTAAAATTCTGAAGAACTTTGTCAGACTCATTCTATTGGTTAGACATAAAGCTAAATTTGTTCCCATAAGACACAGTCCAAATACACTATTTTTAATAGGCTTGAAGAACTTAGAGCTTCTCAGGTTCCTCTCTGCCCCCCCCCGCCAAGCTGTGTGACGTCAGCTATCATAATATAGCTTGTTAATTAAATAGCTGGAAGACCAAATAAAAATCAGTGAATGTAGTAGTTACAAGAATGAAAGAAGACTTGTTTGGTTTGTGGAGTAAATAGAGCTGTGTATTCAACAGTCTAAATTAGCAGCAATTTCTATATTCACAACTAAAAGGAATGAAATGTAGCTGCTTGGCTCTCCTGGAGCGAGGCCAATGGTGATGGCTGAGAATATTGGAAGAAGAGGTGAAAACTCTGTTCTCTTTCTCCTGTCAAGTGGGTTTATTATAACTGTTACTGGACTCCTTAGCAGTCAGAATGATCCCTCCTCCCTCTTCATATTACCACATAATTAAGAGAAATAAATAAATCACGAGGCTAAAGCCTGATAAAATGTTTAACACTTCAGGTTGGGTTTTTTTGTTCCCCCACCCATTTATTTGTTTTTATATTAAAGAAACCTTGACTAAAGTAAAATAAAACACCAAAGTGAAGCTAAGCTTTTTGTTCAATTTTAAAATAATGGATGCCCATGCACTTTCTGCTAAAATTGTCAGTGTTATTTCTTCAAGCAGGACGGAAAAAATAAACAAAGCAAGTCATAAAGTGATGATCTGCGGTGTGACTTCGATATCTCTTCCTAAACTATAAAGCACTGTTATTGTAGCTGAAAGCATTCCTTAAGGGTTCTTAACTGTACAGCTCTTGAAAGTGGGTTTTTACTTCAGTTTTTAAGATTGCCCAGGACTTGCCACATCCCATGTACTTTTTCCCCCTTTCCATTCCCCACAGGTTTGTTTAATAAGTTGTGTTTTCTTGGTCTTTCTTTTTATTATTGATTACAAACCTGCAGTTTGTCAAGGAACCTTTTTCCGAATTGTCTTGAATAAACTGTTCTTGACTTTAATGGTGTTCCTGATTAAAGGGTTCACCAATGGCCTAAATTACTCTTGCTCTAATTTAATAAATGTAAAATTGTGCTCCTGTTTTTTCTTTTAAAACGGGTAAGCTAATTATTTTTTCTCTCTCCTTCCCTCCCTTCTCTCCTGCTCCTCCCTCCCCCTCACTCCTTTTGTTGGTAGCCAATACCTCTACTGAAACAAAAGATGAATCACTCCATCACAATGTCACAGGAACAGATTGCTAGTTTTCTAGCCAATGCTTTCTTCTGTACTTTTCCACGTCGCAATGCGAAGATGAAGTCTGAGTATTCTAGTTATCCAGACATTAACTTCAACAGGTATGGCACTCTGGAGTAAATGAAGCTGATAACCCTTCGATGAAAATGTTATTGTTGTCATTTAGGGGAGAAACTCATTGTTCCTTTCATCTTTCTGTCACCAATTTCAGTAGTTTGCTTTCTGTCTTTTCTATGTACCTCTAAGGGACAAGAAAACTATGCAACTCTGTAAGAAAGGATCTTGTGCACAGGAAGATATGTTCAATATTCCAAATTTTCTTTTTTTCATGCATGCTCACACAGGAACATGATCTTGCTCTGGCATAATTAGGCTGATAAAATTCCCCGCCTCCTCATAAGCCATTCATCTGCGAATGGTATATTTCAGTTGTACTTCAAGGTTTCTATATGTGTTTAAATTAAAGGCTAGTGTTTCCCCAGCCATGGTTAGATTGTCTCCTTTGTGTCAGCAGTGCTGATCTGCACATTGTCAGATCAACAGGACCTGATTCTTCAGCATCCATACAATCTCTTAGCATTTTTAAGGCAGTTGTAGAGCTACATGTTAAATTAAACCTGACCCTTTTGCTACAAGTTAGCATAAAAAGGTTTCAAGACCACAATAAGAATTTAATTAAAGATACTGTGGTTTCTAAACAAACATTTGTTGTTTTTCCCTCAATACTAGCTTACAGACAGATTTGATTAGAAATTTTTCTTCACATCTTTTATTTTTTAAATATGCTTATTTCAGTTTTGTATGGGGGAAGAGGAAGGAGACGTTTTCTGCTGCAGAATATTATGGTTCACATGGACTTGTAGATTAGAAATGAGAGTTTGTCATCTCCTGGGCCCTTCTGTACAAGTCTGTGTAGATCAACCTTAAGTTTATTAGGCTGGAGCTTGGACAGATTATTGATCTAGAGTTTCTTCTTATTCCTCACAGTTAACATGTTGCGTATATACTCTGAAAATTAAGATGAAATATAAAAATTCTGTTGTTACCTGTGATCCAGCACACTTGGGTACGTGTGTCATAAGAGCTCTGTTAGGCTAGAACTTCCCAGCGTGAATTGTCAGACCTGCCAATGTACTAATTATGGGTTTGGTGGTTGCTGTCTTTATGGGGTAGCACAGGTCTCCCTACACTGTGTGTTTCAGAAGAGAGACCAGGGTCACTCTCTTGGTGTTAATTCCAGCAGAGTGGGTTACTGAAGTGTGAGTGGGCTTTAACGTGCCATACGATTCAGCATATTTTTCCAGCATCCATTCATAAGAATAAATAAACAAAAAGTACCATCCATGCATCGAAAAGATTTATGGTCAGAGCAGTTGAAGAGGACAGTTCTGGAAAGAGTTCTGTTTGACTGCACCAGCTATGCACTTCTAGCTGAATTTTAGGGGTTTTTTTAAAGGACTTTAGGATACCAGTTTGTGTTATAACTTAAGCGTGTTCTAAATCAAGCAGTTAACTTCTTACCAACTACAGAATAAAATGTTGTTAAATCACTGGAGTAAAATCATATTCTCTCTTATGAACATTGCTCAGCAATGTAAAGTCACAGTAGTACAGTGTAATACTAGTGGTTAACTTGGGCATAATGTTTTGAACTACATTTAAATGAAAAAGCTGTGGCAGGTTATTAGGTAAACAGTTTCCTGCCACAGACATAAAGAATTACCAGTATAAAATATTAACTCTTTGGGATTTTCTGCTCTGCTTCATTCAGTCCTCTTTTGTTTTCTGACTTGGCTTCCTAGTGCTATCACTCATCCTAAGTTGGAACAATATTATTTAAACGGGGTAACGCTGCAGACAACCTTCAGGCCTTCCTCTTGCCTTATTATGGATGAGATAATGCTCAGCTTTTAGTCACACAGGGTAGAAAGCCGTTTGTATTCATGTAAGTGCAAGAATATTGTTGCCAAACTGCAGAAAAGAAGGGAAGCTGATGTCCTGTGGTTCTTGAGGATTCAAAATGGCTTTTCCTCAGTGTTTGCCAAGTTATGTGATTTGTATATAATTACTGTTTTCTTTTTTTTCTGTCCTTTTTTTACTTAACCATTTGTTGGACCAAAATCCCCCCACTCCCCAGCCCCCTTCATGTATTTTGCATTTGATAACAAGCAGATTAGCATAGTCAAATATGAGATGTGACGGACTGGATAAAATAAAAGGGAATATGTTAGTGGGAGGGGGACTGACAGGATAAGAGCAAAAAAAGATTGAAGAGAGTGAGTGGTGGAAAGAGTACTACAAGAATTTACAGTTTTCTATCATATGTAATCTGACTCTTGAAAACTAATTATGGATGAGATAATGCTCAGCTTTTAGTCACACAGGGTAGAAAGCCGTTTGTATTCATGTAAGTGCAAGAATATTGTTGCCAAACTGCAGAAAAGAAGGGAAGCTGATGTCCTGTGGTTCTTGAGGATTCAAAATGGCTTTTCCTCAGTGTTTGCCAAGTTATGTGATTTGTATATAATTACTGTTTTCTTTTTTTTCTGTCCTTTTTTTACTTAACCATTTGTTGGACCAAAATCCCCCCACTCCCCAGCCCCCTTCATGTATTTTGCATTTGATAACAAGCAGATTAGCATAGTCAAATATGAGATGTGACGGACTGGATAAAATAAAAGGGAATATGTTAGTGGGAGGGGGACTGACAGGATAAGAGCAAAAAAAGATTGAAGAGAGTGAGTGGTGGAAAGAGTACTACAAGAATTTACAGTTTGATATCATATGTAATCTGACTCTTGAAAACTAAAATGAGGCGGGAGGAGGAGGGATGGATAGTATCCTATTTCTTTTTCCTCTTGGCAACCCTGTATTTTCTTGCCCTGAAAAGTTAGTTCTTTAGTAGTAAGGATGAAGAATAATATGTCACGTTTTCAGCTATTGTTTGAGACTTGTAAAGATGACAAGGTTTGGTCCATTGCATTGTGTATTTTCAGTTTTTACAAAAAAGCTGGATATACTCAAAAGGCAGTAGGCAATAACTGAAGTCAAAATGTTTGTGACTTTTTTTTGTCCTTTATATAGCAATGTTTTGATGTAGAGGCTTTGGAGGCTGCCCCTTTGCTCTGTCTGCTTAGGGATGGGCATAACAGATTGTTCCATGCAGCAACCCTCTCTCCCCGCAGTATTATAGTCTGCAGCTTTTTCCAGACTTAATTCTTTCCTCAGCATAATTCATCTGCTCCATGACTGTGAGTGAATGACTTTGTTCTTTGGGTACAAAAGAATAATGTGCCAAGGTTCCCTAATGAAGCAAAATTACTGAGCTGGTGCTAACATTTGAGGTTTGCTTTTTTCTTTAGTGTATGTGGTGTTCCTTGATTCCGCTCTGTGTGCCCTTTCTACCTTCATGAAAAAGGCTTCCACCCCTCACCTCAACTCTTTAAAAACCAAAATTTGTGTCTTAAGTTACAAGCACAGTTTGTAACACAAGCTTGTCTTGTGTTTTCAGCTTTACACAGCAGTCATTTATCAATTCACTTCATGCAGACTTAAACAATAGCACTTTTTTATACACTATTAAATAGTTATGGCTTCTACATTTAAATGCTGTCATGTTCCATCTTCTCCCTGCATTAGGTTTTTATGTGCTATTAACTAGCATATTGTGGCTTCCATCCCTACTCCACCCAAAGTACAAATCTATTTGACAAAAAAGCAGATGGTCAGTGAAACATATTGAGAATTTACTCTCTCTTCTTTTCTCCTCTTCTTCTCCCTCTGGTGTTTTCTGGTGCAGCGTTGCTTGGCACCATTACTACAGTGAGGATGGCAGGTTGTTTGAATGCTGGAGTGTGTGCTAATAACTGCAGCTGATTGGAAGGGAGGCCATTGTACGTGTTAGTATTACCATAATTAATCTGTTGCTTTACCTCTCCTCTCCTGCCTGCTGGTCTTGCCAGATGAGAGGAGAAAAGTGAGCATTCCTCTTTTGACACTGAAGCACTTAATTCTGTCTGTTTTGATTATTCATCAATCAGACTGAAAGTCACCTGTGTATAAGGAAATACTCCATAATTTAATTGAATTCTTCCCTTTTGTACTTGGCAAGGGTGGGCCTGTTATGATTCCTAAGTCATTAGTAACATAATTCATCTCAAACTTAGTTAATAAAATGGAATTCATAGTTTAACTTTGAAAGGTTTAATATTTATGAATTCTGCTAGATAGAACGACATCCGTTCAGTGGCCAAATTAGATCATACTCAATAGCATAAAATACTGCTTCTGTTCAAAATACCAAGCTAAATTTAAAGAGGTCTTTTTAAAGACCTCTTTTTAAAAGCACTTCTCTAATAGTATAAGACTCTTCTGAGATCATGTCTACAATTATGATGTTGGTTACACAGTTTAAAGTAGTTTCTTTAAACTACTACTTTAAAGTAGTAGTAGGTGATGCTCATAATTATTGTGACTAATTTGTTGTTTAGCATAGTACTTTCATAAAAAAATATATTCCTCTTGAAATATATTAAAGATAAGGTCGAACTGTGCTTTCTTGCATTTGTTTTTTATAAGATGCTGAAACTGATGCCATCCACTGTTGAACAAGATTTTGCACTGTGGAGATTTTTCTTCCCCCCTGTTGACCAAGTTATTGGACCTGTGTCTTAACACTATAGAATCTGGTTATTTAGGAAGATACCTGGTTTGATTATATGTAAAATCAAAGTGTAAGGAAAAAAGCTTTTGCGATCTTGAGTCAGTGTTCTGGATGACTGAAAAGGAGACAGGTTTGTCAAGAACCCACTTTGCTTTTGCTGTGTCTTTGACCTGGTATGGATCTGTTCTTATCTGTTGTGCCAAGTTACAATTATTCCTCTGCTCTCCTTTTTCAAAAAACTGTGGTAGTTAAACTGGAGATGCTATGCATCCATAATAATTCCCATTAAAGCAGTTGAGGTTGAATTCGTAATTGAAGATAGTATGTCTGATGACATAAGCCTGGTATGTCTTTTGGCACACACATTGGTGGATGCTCTGGTCTGAAACCACCAGTATTCATCTAGGAATGAATTTCTTCATCTTTACCAAACAAATG